ACCAATATAAATAGCACTATCGTGTTCCTGAGCTCAAACTCCATCAAATGCACATTTTTTGCTGAAAAAAAAATTTAACTTCAAAATTTGACCTTTTTTACCTGTAAATGACCTGACCTAAGCTAAATTCAACTCAAAATGACCTCAAATGACACAAACGACATGAAGTTTGAGATCTATGGCCTAAATGGACCATAAACATGTGTCACGTGACCGATGCATGATATAATATTTCCGTAACCTGTGATGACCTGACGCTGACCGGAAAATCAAAGTACGAGTACAAGTTTGGTACCCTTAGGGTATCTAAAGCATCTGTTCACCAGTGTGTGAACCAAAAAATGAGCCTGATCTGACTTGTAAGACCGCAGCCAGAGCCCAAAATGTGAACAAGCCAAAATGCTAATAATTTTTACTTTGACCTGACCTGTGACGTCATTGTTGACCTCGAGGTCAATTAAATAAGGTTTCTTTCGACAGTTTTTTCCGGGGCTATCAGACGCCGTTTAAATTTTGAAGATCGGCTAGTAGTTTCGGAGTTAAGAGGGGGGAGCTATGAAGAGCCCCCCCCCCCAGTAGTGCGCGCTATACGCAGACCTCAGTGGGGCGCGGGCTAACACTCTCGGATTCACTATTCACCACAACTATTTTCATTGTAAAACTCCATTGATATTTTGCATAACATTAGCCTATCAACATGTTTAATTTCGGAACACATGTATAGTCTAATTCTTTAAAATATTTACTTGTGCATGGGCATCAGTGGTCCAGTTCGGCGAAACTTTCCATTCAGTTTAGGGCCTCTGCAGTACGGTCATGTCCTGTATCATAAGATGCACGCTGTAGCAAAATCCTATTTTTCCCCGGCCGCGAACTCGCTGCCACCGAGTTAGGAGACGGACGTCTTATCCACTAGGCCACGGGGAGGACAATCGGGTCCTATGCCACCATCAGGAGTAAAACTGCCGTATGACGGAGGCACCGGTGTCTGACAACTGGACAAAAACAGTCTGGAGGCCGGCCAGAGGTCATGCTCGTATCGCTCACCCTGGACCCCGGCATCGCCTCTGGCAGATGCTCAAAACATTACTGTAAAAACAATAAATTGTGTGCATGAAATGCCCGAAAATTCACATTGCATAATTTGACAGAATTTTCTCCTGCCTCTCGATTCCCTCTTTAATTAACCCACGAGCCGCTGGGGGGGGGGCATAAAGTTGCCCCCCTTTACGTTTTGTGAAATATCTCCGAAACCTGATGAGCTACGAAGGCGAAACTTGGCATAGCTTCAAATGAATACCTAGGCAATGTTTGAGGAAAGTTTGGTGGTTGTATCAACTAAGATGACGTCACAGTGACGTCATAAAGTTTTGTCGTTTTTCGATATGGACCGTTTCTGATGACGCTGAGCATGAACCTCAGCTGTAAATGAACTAAACAGCACCTGCTGTCATCCTAAAACATCTAACTACACTTCCATCTGGTTTCTGACCAATAATCGACCCTTTATATTCGGTCCCATATATCTGATGTATCGTGAGGAATATGAGAGTCGCAAATGTATAATTTCACTTCTGACGTCACTGTGACGTCATTTCAAATGGGATCGACACCAAATTTGGACACAACCTCGGCTAGGTATTCAGGAAGATGTGTGCAAAGTTTCGCTTCTCTATCTCTTCGCGTTGCGACGATATCGTCGCAGAAGTAAAGGGGGGGGGGCAACTATATGCCCCCCCCCCAGCGGCCGGCGGGTGGGGCGGAGGCCCAGCGGCCGCCGGGTTAAGCACGTGCATAAAGTTGCATTATGTTCACATTCAGATTCGCGTGCACATTCGCGGACCCCTCAGATTTGGCTCAAAATTGTGCAACTTATAGATTTTGAGCTCCTGATTGCGCGAAAATCATGTTCTTATTTCACGCCGTCAAGTGGTTCTCAAAATATTCACATTTGTTTTACGAGTTCTGAAGCTCTTAATTTCACCTTAATTATTAATGCTGCAGTCATTCGACTCGGCTGATTGAAAGGGATACAATGACGTCATTGTTGAAGCTGTACCCCTGCTTTATGCCGAGTTACTAGCAAAAACATAGTTTGACCGCATTTGACCTCAGTTGACCCGACTCTTGCTTTCTTGCACCAAAGAAACACAAATTAACCCGCGCCCTGCTGGGGGGGGGGGGGGGCAGATCCCCCTGTCTAACTTCCGAAATTATGGTCGTAGAAAGACGGGGAAAACGGCAATCGAAAGCTAAACAAGGCGGATCTAAAGAGCCGTTTTTTTTTTGCTTGAGTAGGTGAGAGGTCAGTTCAAGGTCAGGTCAAGGGTACAAAATGCAAGTTTCTGCAGTATCGGCCTTGCACCGTGGTTGCCGAAGATTGGACTGAGACTGATTGCCCAAAACGTGTTCTTAGGCTACCAAGACCATATTCGTTGCATATTATATCATGAAAAGATCAAGGTCAAGGTCAGGTCAGGTCACCAAAAACGGAATATAGAAAAGGCATGCGTGACACATGTTTTATGGGTCATTTTATTCATAGAATTCAATAGGCACACTCAATAAGTGATATGGACCACATCTGGATGAATTTCTGGTCAAGGCCAGGTCAAGGTCAGGTCAAGTGAGGTCTAATTTTGGAGTTGGTTGTTAAGCCCTAAAAAGGTGTCTAATATGTGTTCACTAAAAATTGAGACAAAATTTAGCGGACTGTATCTTCAGTAAAAATGTACCGATTTAAACAAACGAGGCATTATTGTAAAGCGCATTGCACCTGCTGCAAGCTGTAGAGTGTCAACAGATTTGCCTGATCCCCATATGTCTCTTTTTGGACGTTTGCTTGTGTTTTCACATTCTCTGGCACCAGTGGGCCGTGAATTTGGCCAATTCATGGCGGTAACGAACAAACAGTTGATATTTTCTATGAAATTTAAAGACACCAACATACGTTATAGCCTTCGGCAAAACACATTTAATACTCATTTCTTAAATTTCAGGCGCGGCAAACGGCTTATTGGGCCTCGTTCCAAGTGGAATTTTTACATCGGCCGGGGTCCTCAAGGCGCCCCTTGGTTAGTGTGCTGGCGCGAGGTCAGACCAGAAGACTACCTTCTGGTTACATATGTTGTTCTGCGTGAACTTCCAGTACTAAATAATACACTTGGCTCCGAAAATATCATATTATATAGGACCAGCCTGGATGAATGAAGTCGAACTGTTGATATGCTTTAAAATGACACATACACCATAGCATCCAGCGTTAGCTTGCATACTGACACTTAAATGGACGTTAGCTCTTGTGTCATCGATAGCATCACTACAGAACACTCCATTGTCTAGTTAATTGTCGCCCTTTAACTAAAAACATAACTTTTCTTCTTTAAATAGTTCGACCTTTTCTGAACTTTTTGGCCCTTTCTTGACCATTGCATATTTACGTCTATTGCCTAATGCTGTTCCCGGTCGCTTCGAGAAATCATTTACGCCGTTTGTTACTCAGCCTAGCCTCAGGTGTGTTTATCTTCTTCGTGTTGGTACAGCTGATACCCTACTGATCAGCAGCATTGCGCCGTGAGGTGCCAAAAAGCCCCTCCACGTGCATTTTCGGGGCGCCGACCTTTCCTCAGGTCAATATCTTCACAATAACACTACTTCAGCTTTTTCGGACTCCCACACCCACATAGAACTTTCTTTCCACCTTGCGGTATGTAACTAAGTTCGACATTATAAGTTTTCATTAGGTTTTTGTACGTCCGAGACTCCCATTGACGCACTATTTTGGGAAAGCCTGCCAATAGGCTTCCGGTGGTCCTTATTTAATGCGACCTCCTACGCGACTGATTTGATCATATATCCGTGAAATTTTATGCTCGATATGATGAGAAATGTTCCTTTTATCTCTATGGAAAGTTGTATCGAAATAGCTTGCTTCGCTTTTGGTGTGCAGTTATTCAAAGTTTGTGTCAATTTTTAGTGAACACCCTATATCTTATGCAGCTTTTCACGGCGAGTCGAATGGTCCTATTTTTGGTTCTCTACGAGGTCTCGAACTTCCAAAAAATCTGTTTTTTTTTTTAATTGTGGGTCGTGATGTCATAAAAATTTGAAGAACTCCCACATTTTTGAACCGATTCTTCTAAAAATTGGCATGTAGGTGCACATAGACCACTTCTCTGCCATATATCGACACCTTTTTTTTAAACCCCACATTTGTTCTCCCGTGAAGTTCAGATAAGTTGTTTAGAAACCTTCCAAAAAGGTACAGTCACTCGATTTTTCTCAAGTTTGTCTGTCTTGGCAGATCAAGCAATGCCAGAGCAAGCTCACGAACACACAAATTTGATCAGGATCGGACGATTGGACACGTTTAAAAAGAGATCTTTCGTACTTCCCGGAAATTCACCGGAGAACAGATGTGGGGTTTAAAAAAAAGGTGTCGATATCTTCCGGTTTTTTCGATACACTGACAGTTTTGGATTTTATAATGATTTTCCCAAAAAAGTCAGTATTTAAAGAAAAGAACGGCCAAAATCCAGAATTTTCAAAACACCGAGATAGCCATTTGATAGACAAAGTAGAATCACGTATAATCTTTTTGTTACGTCTTGATTCCTTTAGAAATAAAGATGTTAGCGGCGTTTGGAGTTTTGTCGTTGTTGAGGCGAAAATGACGTGACATGACGTCACTTAAACGTTATTTTCAAAAAAAAATCTGACGGATTTCGCTCAAATTTTCAGGGATCGTGTTAAATTGATGTATGATAAGGTACTGATAGTTTTAAGTCACTGGCGTAACGCTTTTAGAAGTTACTGGTGAAAAAAACGGGAGGGGGGCAGATTCTCCCCCCCCCCCCCAGCGGGGCGCAAGTTAAGTTGCGCATTAGCCTAACTACTCACGAACTAACTCACTCACTCACTTACTTTCTCTCTCTCTCCCTCACTCTCACTCTCACTATCACTCTCACTCTCACTCTCACTCTCACTCTCCCTGCCGACAGGACGTGGCTGCCGGACGTTGTGCCGCGACTATGGCCGTTCCTGGGCCACCCCAGCTCCAATGTGCGCCGGTCGGCAGTGAAGACACTGAGTCAGCTCGTCGGCACACAGGTAGGCCACTGCCTGACTGCCAAGCTCTGCTGTCGTTTGATTGAGATGATTACTCCCTTCAGTTGCATTCTTGCTGGCTCCACTTGAACGGGATACCACCATACCTGAGTGAGCGCACCCGCAACCAGCATCCCCTCCCCTCAGCCGCGGCGCAGTGGCGGGCGGCCCACTCTCGGCGTTACGCACGCTCCACGCCGCGATAGCGCGTCACTCCCCTGCCTCCTTCCCCCCCAAAATGACCGGTGGCCTCACTCCCCTTGGGATTTGGTTTGGACTCGCCCTACCCCGACCGTAGCGCCACGTGGTGTCTCTGTAGATTTTAACCCTCGCCCGCACATGAGGGGGGGGGGCGTCCAAATGCGTTTTTGCGCATTATCCCCCATACGCATTATCCCCCCAGGCTAATGCGTAACTTGACCGGGGGGGGGGGTGCCACCTCCCCCAGGTAGTTTTTCTGTTCTGCACTAAACATTTTTTAAAGCTAGAAGCCTGATTTTTCGTACTCATACTGGATCGCCTACTGTGCGCTGGCCGACCGGTCCCGGACGGCTGGTCCGACCCTGGCGGCGCTGGCGGATCAGCCGAACATCTTCGTATGAAGTCACCTCGGTAGCCGTTCAAGGCGAATATGTCGTGCAGTGTCTTTTCTTCTTTGTGAAGATGTTCGGCTGATCCGCCAGCGCCGCCAGGGTCGGACCAGCCGTCCGGGACCGGTCAGCCAGCGCCACCGGGGTCGGACCAGCCGTCCGGGACCGGTCAGCCAGCGCCACCGGGGTCGGACCAGCCGTCCGGGACCGGTCAGCCAGCGCCACCGGGGTCGGACCAGCCGTCCGGGACCGGTCAGCCAGCGCCACCGGGGTCGGACCAGCCGTCCGGGACCGGTCAGCCAGCGCCACCGGGGTCGGACCAGCCGTCCGGGACCGGTCAGCCAGCGCCACCGGGGTCGGACCAGCCACCTACCAATCAGCCGTCCGGCGCCAACCGCCCTCGTCATGTCTCCATGCCTTGTGTGAAAGGAGTAAGCGAACCCATCTCCCGCCTTCTACGCGCTCACAACGTAATTGACGGGCATTCGTCAAAAACTCTAAAAAAAGTCACTATTTATCGTGAAAGATGGATTCCTAAGGCCAAGCAAAAGGGTGCGATATAACCGCAGGTTGTTGTTTCATTAGACAAACACTATTCGTTAGAGTTGTGTTTTTCTATTGAAAAACAACCGGAGCGGTCGTTCTCCGGGCTATGTTTTGCATGGCTGGGCGCGAATCGAGACATCTTGATTGGGGCCTAGACGAATCGTTCAATCTTCGTAAAAAGTTCAGTGTATGGGCTCTCGGAGGCGATCTACCTGATGGCACCGGTCGCTACTCGCTAAGAATTCTTTTGCGCGTGGCACGTGCGATTCCATATAACCGCAGGTTGTTGTTTCATTAGACAAACATTATTCGTTAGAATTGTGTTTTTTCTATTGAAAAACAACCGGTAACCGCAGGTTGTTGTTTCATTAGACAAACATTATTCGTTAGAATTGTGTTTTTCTATTGAAAAACAACCGGAGCGGTCGTTCTCCGGGCTTTTTTTTGCATGGCTGGCCGCGAATCGAGACATCTTGATTGGGGCCTAGACGAATCGTTCAATCTTCGTAAAAAGTTCAGTGTATGGGCTCTCGGAGGCGATCTACCTGATGGCACCGGTCGCTACTCGCTAAGAATTAATCGAATAAGATTAATTCTTTAATTAATTAATTCTAAGAATTAATCGAATAAGACGCCGTCCCTCACGCTGTGACCACCGCCCGGAATATCCCGTTCTGTTGGCGAGAGGACGTGCGACTGCAGCTCGACGAGCTGATGGAAAAGGACATCATCGAGCCGGTGGAGCACCCCACAGACTGGTGTCATCCGATCGTTCCTGTTGCCAAACGGTCATCAGACGGCACAGTGTCCGGCTGCCGGCTGACCGTGGACTTCACGAAACTGAACCGGTTCGTGAAGCGACCGACGTACCCGGTCCGCTCGCCTCAAGACGCAGTCGCCTCCGTCTCACCCGGCGCTGCGTACTTCACCAAGCTGGACAGCAAGGCGGAGTACCACCAGGTCCCGATCCGGCCAGAAGACAGAGACCTGACGTGTTTTATCACGCCGTGGGGCCGCTACCGCTACCTGAGGGCTCCAATGGGAATCGTCAGCTCTGGCGACGTGTACAACCAGCGCGGTGACGCCGCGCTCGGCGACATCCCGCGCACGTGTAAGGTCGTGGACGACGTCCTGGCCTATGACGCTGACTACGCCGCCCACCTGCAGCACGTGCGGCAGATGCTGAAGAGATGTGACCAGCACGGCATCACACTCAACTCGGACAAGTGTCAGTTCGCGGAAGATGAAGTGGAATTCTGCGGCTTCCGCATCAATTCAGCTGGCTATACCGCCGACGGCAAGAAAGTCCGTGCAATCCAGGCCTTCCCCAGGCCGGGCAACATCACCGACCTACGGTCGTTCCTCGGCCTGGTGACCCAGCTCGGCGCCTTCTCCCCAGAGGTCGCCGCCGCCGCCGAGCCGCTGAGACAGCTGCTGCGGCCGCGGAACGCGTGGCTGTGGACGCCAGCGCACGAGCAGGCGTTCAGCGCGGTGAAGATGGCACTCACGTCGCCTCCCGTGCTCGACCCTCGCCGCCGCACAGTCCTCGAGACTGACGCCGCTCGCTCCGGCGGCCTGGGCTACTGCCTGCTGCAGCAAGACGCCGCAGGCCGGTGGCGACTGATCCAGTGCGGCTCACGCTTCCTATCGGACGCCGAGTCGCGGTACGCCGTGATCGAGCTGGAGCTGCTGGCCCTGGCCTGGGCCTGCAAGAAATGCAGCATCTATCTCAGCGGGATGCAGCGGTTTGAAGTCCTGACCGATCACCGGCCGCTCATCCCGATCCTCAACAGTAAGAGCCTCGCGGAGATCGAAAATCCGCGGCTCCAGCGGCTACGAGAACGGCTGGCGCCGTTCAACCTGCTCGCCACCTGGCGGCAAGGCAAGCTGCACGCCATCCCGGACGCGCTGTCGCGCGCGCCGGTGGATGACCCGGCGCCTGAGGACGAGGAAGCCGAGAGGGACGCCAGCCATCAACTCGCCAGCGTGCTCTCACGGCTGGCCACCGACGGGGCGGACGACGGTCCCAGCCCGTTCAAAGACGCGGCGCTGACAGAAGTGCGCGCCGCCGCCGCCGCCGATCCGGAGCTCATCGCACTCACTGACCTGATCCTGGACGGATTTCCAGAGCACCGGTCACATCTGGACCCGCGCCTCCGACCGTACTGGGGAGTTCGGGACCGGCTGGCCGTGGACGACGGCCTGGTGGTGTGCGGCCAGCGGCTCGTGATACCGCCCGGTCTCCGGCGCGCCACGCTCGAGCGCCTGCACGCCAGTCACCAGGGCGTCGAGCGCACCAAACGGCGCGCACGGCAGGTGGTCTACTGGCCGTTCCTGGACAGTGACATTGCGAACCATGTCGGAGCGTGCCCGGCCTGCCAGCGGTACCTGCCCAGTCAGCAGAAGGAGCCGCTGATGCCGGAAAAGACGCCGTCACGAGTGTTTGAGGCTGTCTCCTGACTACTTCGCCTGGGCCGGCCGCACGTTCCTGGTATACGCGGACCGGCTGTCCGGGTGGCCGTTTGTGTCGCACGTGGCCGGCGAGGCGACTGCCAGAGACCTGGTCTGCAGCCTGCGCCAGATGTTCGCGGCCACCGGCGTGCCCACCACCCTCCGGACAGACGGTGGACCCCAGTTCACCGCCCGGCTCACCCGCGAGATTCTGCGCCGCTGGGGAGTGGAGCACCAAATCTCCACGCCCCACTACCCTCAGTCTAATGGGCACGCCGAGTCGGCGGTCAAGGCCGCCAAACGGCTCATCCAGAAGGCGACCAGCAGCGGTGAGCTCGACACGGACGCCTACGCGCAGGGACTGCTGGAACTGCGCAACACGCCGCGCGCCGACGGCCGCTTTCCGGCTCAGGTCCTGTTCGGCCACCCGCTGAGATCGGCAGTGCCGGCGCACCACCGGGCCTTCGCCGACTGCTGGCAGCGGGCGGCGGACGACTGTGACGCCAGAGCCGCGGCGCAGCAACAGAAAACAGCCGAGCGTTACGACGGGACAGCCCGACAGCACAGCGCTCTCACCATGGGTCAGCGCGTGCTCGTCCAAGACCCGCGGTCGGGGCTGTGGGACCGCGTCGGCGTCAGCACGGCGGTCGGACAGCGGCGCGACTACCTGGTCTGGCTGCCCAGTGGCCGAGTCTACTTGCGGAACCGGCGCTATCTGCGACCCCAGAGATCCCTCATCTCGGAGGGCGCCGCCACACCTGCACCCGGGCGCCGGCAGCAGCCCGCTCCGAGCTCGGCACCCGACGGCACGGAGGAGACCGCCGCCGCTGCGCCGGCGGGCGGACAGCCGGCACCACCGGTGCTGCGGAACAGCGCCGACGACCCCAGCTCAGTGCGCCGTGGGACGCGCCGCCGTCGCCGTCCTGCCCGACTGACCGTGCGCTGGGCGGACCAGACGTACGACTGAGTTCGTGCGTCCACACCGTGTATGGTGTACATTTTTGTTTATGTGTAGACGCAATGCGTATCTTGTACCGACGCATGCGTCTTGAGGGGGGGGGGGGTGTTGTAATGGGGCACGTTTTCCCTTCCCTTCATTTGGTATCACACCCCGGTCATATGGAAGCACAGAAACAATAAACAGTTCCATGGTCGCCGCCATCGTGTTTCGGTCGCCCAGTGCCGCACCAGAGATATCGCCGTGCTAATCGCCACTACCGACCATAACAGGGCGAGGTTTGTGAACGTTTGTTGCGCTCGCATTGGTACATGCCCAATATGTGCAATGTGCATCCATATACATGAATGACATGTGATTCACGATGCAAGTGTACCTATACATCACATGTGCGTATATGAACGAAATAAATGTGAAAAACATGTTTTCGCTCACAATATCAAACAAAACTTTAATTTATTCGCTTTTCATTAGCTGATTTTATCAGCTGGCAACCATCACCCATCGTCCTTGGTGTAGTCGAACTCGGCGCACTCGGATAAGTGTTCGAAATTTTTGACGTTTACTTGTTGCTAGGGCAACCGGGCAGTGTATAAACTTTTTACTCGTCAACAAGTGCTTGCAGAGCTGCCGCTCACACTTTTTAACACAGTCTTTATGCGTCAGTTTGTGTGACGCGTCATATCTGAAACATGTTTTGTGAGGCTACAAAACCATTCAAGTCATCTCCTTCAAAAGACGTGTTTTGTAACATTCTCGATATGTTTTTGGGGCTTAACTGCTAGCTTCATTCATCCTATCTTGCGAGAGGAAAGTCATCATTCGGGGACCGATAGTTGAAAGCAAGAAATAACGACGAGGAGGTCTTGTAAAAAGTCGCAGCCATTGCATTTAGCATTAAATGACGAAAATATGTTTACCCCCATCGCCTCAGCCGATCACGTACTGTCACCCAGTACCCACCTGGTAACCGCCACGAGACGTACGGTTATAAGCCCGACGCCTTCATTGTTTGTGTGTTTGTTTTGGTGAATTTGGTCGGACTTGCAAATTGCAATGATGGACCGGGGGGAGGGGGATGCGGACATTAAAGTTTGACAAGTGGGGAATTGACCAAAAAAAGGTTGGGAACCACTGCTTTGAAGTCTACTCTTTTTGCTCATGTCATTATCGTCGTGCCTTAGGCAATTGTTTTCTCGTAATGCGAAAATAAACTGTTTTTTTTTCTAACATTCCGTATGACTGTGTGGCGCCGCCGACTATTTAGCTGCGGCGTGTCCTCTCATTCCAGCCGCTCTTTGCGCCGCCAATTGTCGCCACGCGCCATGAATCAAGAGCGTTTGTTTTCCTGCTGTGTATTGTTGTAAATTTGTTATGAACATCACATCTGCTTTACCTGTTTCAATCATATTTAATATCTGTCTTTAATATGTTGTAATTTCTAGATTGACTTTCCGCTGTTTCCATACACTCGATTCGTTTTGATCATGTACAAAAAGTAGTTCTCATTTCTGGCATTGTAGTTCCGCCCCCGTTGATTTTCCTGTTCTGTTTCTTGTCTCGGCCGATTTACCACGTGTTCTCAGTATAAATATAACAATTTAGTTTTGTACGCAGAGTGTCAGAGAGACTGAGTATCGCGACGAGTTCCTAGTTTTATTTCTCACGTTTTTCACCCAGTTTTCCCATCTGAACCTCCGCTTTGCTGTTTATTTCGTTCTTTCATTGTGGGTAAATTCCTTTCCTCCGAACACGCCCATCATTACCCATAGACCCACAACTGCATGATTGTTGTTTTAGGATCTGGATGCATGGTCTCCACAGCTGATCGAGGCCGCTCTGAGGTTCACTTTCCAGCGGGCCGTGGTGGAAAGCCACGATGACATCCTAGATCTGCTAGTTAAGGTAGGTAGTGATTCTGTCACGGCTGCCATGGTGCATTATAAGGGATTTTCACTGGGTCGGTAAAACTAACGAGGTCGGCACTTCGTACATGATAAGGGTGGCCCTTCTCACCTTTGGGGGTGGCATCCGGATTTATATTGGCCATGCTGCCATACAGTATGTGTCTCGTACAGTATGCTGAGTGCTGACGATGTGCAACTGGTAGTGTTTGGAAGGCCCAGTGACAGTGACGTCCCTGGTCTAGAGCGGAACCTTTAACTGTTGTCACTATGGTTTCGTAAAAATGGACTTAAGCTTAACGCCAACAAAACAAAGCTGCTCGTCATCGTAACAGGTCAAAATCTCCGCTCGATGCCTCCGACACGGGCTCAGTTCATGGGTGCTACGATTACCGGGTCTCTCACGGCCAAAAACCTTGGCGTAGTTTTCGACCGAAATATGACTTTTTCGGCATATGTGGATGACGTTGTGCGGCGCTGCACCGGCTTACTAAGTGGTTTTGGCCACAGTAGGCACGCGCCTCCACCGGATACGCTTGCTACCATTGTATAGTCTCTCTTGAAAGTACAGTGGAATCCGCTTAATAAATCCACGGATAATGAATCCAGCCGCTTATATTGGCCGCTTGAGCTGTTCACGGAATTTATCCATAGATCTCCGTAGTTAATAAATCAGCCTAATAAATCCACGTACTCCGCTTAATAAAGCCACTTGGGAGTTTTGAAGTCCGCAGTGACATCTCCCCATTCTAAATGTGGCATCCAACCCGCTCAAAAAGAACCACACTGGAGCAGCGATCTGCAGCAGTTTGACTTCCCACGACAGAGGGAATTCAGGGGTATCAAGAGCGCCCATCACCATGCACAGAAAAATGTTCCCGACAAAGCAGGCACCCTCAACTGTATCGTTGGCAACAGGCATGACGGGCAGTGATCGTGGAAAACACGTCGACTTAATCGCTGTGACAGCTTTGCAGTGTGCGCTGGTCACTTTTAGGTTTGAAAATTTGATGCGCGATGTCCTTTACAACATCAAAACGTATTGAAAACGTTGATATATTGGCTATGAAACCTACATATTCGGAAAGCGCACTCTTTTCTGACCAATATCCACGGAAAATATTATGGAAAAGCCAGTAGACTTTTGAGAAAATGACTCAAGCATACGACCGTGTTTTGTTAACGATGGTTATTTTTCGACAAAATGGGATCGATGGCCTACTGAACCCGCCCTCTGACCAGGGCGCGGGTGAAGGAAGCTGGTCTTATCTCGACCTTCGAGGGCGTTGTTCCGAAGGCCATAAGAGGTTGTTTGTTGTTGAGTGTTGTCAGTGTGTCGCTTTCACCGCCAGCCCGTAAGTCGTAACGGCAGCCTTTTCTCCCCAGACGTGGACGTGTCTGCTCTGCCGCTCGCCGCTGGCCACGCTACTCACGGCTGCGTGTCCTCACGTGGCCTCCTGGCTCTGTATTCTAATGCAGCCCACCAGGGTGGCCATCAACTCAGCACTACTGTTAACGCCACCCGCGCCGGTACGTACCGCAACCAGCTGCCTCCGTGCTCAGGCCAGCTGGGTGATCGTCTGAGGTGGTGGTGGGGGGGGGGGGGGGGGCGAGGGAAATCGTTTTTGTCATTTAACCCGCGCCCTGCTGAGGAGGGTATTTGAACACCTCCCCCCCCCCCTGTGGTAGCCCTTTTGCAGATCTTTCTTGAGTGAGGTTCTCAGATTTGACCTCAGTTCAACGGCTTAGCCTCCAGAGGGCAAAAACTGTAAAAATAGCCGTTTTCACGAAAACTGTTTTTCGTCAATAACTTTTGACTCAAGAGAGCAACGACATTACTTTTTGCAGCGTCGTGTTCCTCTGTTGTTGTTGTTGTTTCCCTCCGGTCGCGGGTAGTCCCAGCGACGTAGCTTTAAAGGGACTATCCCACCTTTAACATGGGGTTTGAGTTGAGATAGCCAAGTTTGCGGCGAGGTTCAGAAACCACTATCTATCTAGGTTGCAACCCCCGCGGCCTCTTGGTGTTGAAGAAATTCGTTCCCTTCATTTGAAAATGGGCCTTGTGCAAGGCTCTATCTTCAACATGGAGCGACCGTTCGTGTGACGTCACCTCGTTTAGTCATTCTGATTTAAATGGGTTTGTTCGTTGAAAAATCGCTTAAAACTTGGTCTGAACTTTGTTGTGGTGCCTACAGAGTAAAAGGAATCAGCTTTATGACAGTAATGTGGCCTGGGGAGTGGGGAAGGAGGTAATTTTGGGCTGTGACGTCACATATTTGAAAGTTTGTGTTTGGAATATGGGAAGCCTAAGATGTTTAATGAAAAATAAATGCCAGAACCGTGCTCCTGGTCATCCAATCTATAAAGTCGGGCACAATTTAACTGGTTTTAATAACATTTTAGAAGGTGGGATAGTCCCTTTAACGGCGCTAGAGGGCCCTGGAAGCGGCCACCAGGGCCGCCACGGCACCACTGTGCCGGACAGGGGTGTCGATTTGTGAAAATGGTTAGGGGTGCCCAGAGCTTTAACCTTCGCCCGTATACGTTGGGGGGTCGAACGGTTACGGATCCCCCTCGGTTTTTCGCGAATAACTCGCATAAAAAGCGGCCGATCACGACGAAACTTTCAGTAGTGCCCTCGCGTTGATCAATTTTACACCTAGGTACCCTTGAAATTTCATGACCCTGACCCAAATGACCAGTTTGACCTGTGACCTACTTTTCGAGACCATGTTTGGCCGAAATCGCGATTTGGCGTATGTCGGCTCGCATTAGCCGCGCGTTTGCAGTCTTTTCGTGGTTTCAAGCGCTCAAACATGTGATAAGATGTTGCTCCCATGCATTAGGGTGGGTGTCAAGGTCACGTGAAGGTCAGGTCTGGTCATTGACCTTTGATGACCATTGACCTTCGATGACCTCGGTTCACTTTTTTTAGTTTTACATGTTTCCAGGCTAGGTTTTGGAGCTGAATTCGAATTTAACAACCATATGAACATTTACGAAGTAGTTTTGGTGCCTTCATAACATGTCACGAAGCTGTCAGAGGCGGTTGACACCTAATACGAATACCTGGCAGGACCCCTACTGGTTGACCTGACCCGTCCTGACCCCACCTGGCCTAAATGCATGACGACATCTTTGTGATCAAAACTAACATAATATTCGTGATCAGCACCCCGAAAAACCCCATAGCAGCCACGCTTTACGACGTTCTAACAGGTCCCGATTTTCCCGACTTTTGGGTCATTGACCTGACCTGGAAGGTCAACCAGTGACCTAGGACCTTAAAATTGGGTATCATCGGCTTCCTCTTGTCACAGGAAACACGATCGTGTTTTCCGCGAAGCTCTAGCTCGATCAGGGGCGAAACGGCAAGGGGGGTTCAACGGACCCCCCCCCCCCTCTTATACGTTCGCGGCTGGAAAAACACCAATACGGGCGAGGGTTAAGGCAGACCTCATATGCTATTCTGTAAGATAAAACTGCGTTGTGTTAGTATCAGGGCCTCGGATGACATGTTAACTGGGTGGGCAATCGCCCACCCAGTAGCGATTTTTGCCCACCCAGTGGAGTGTGTTTGCCCACCCAGTAAGACGGAGACGGAGCAGTTTTACCCGCGCTGGGCCGGTGCTCAGCGCCTTCCGCGCCGGGCCGGGGTGTGTGTCTGAACACCCCCGTCTAACTCGGCTCCTGGGCCACGTAGCGACATGCGGTAGGCGGCATTGGAAAGACAGTTAAAATGAAGATAATTCTTGGTCTTTATAAGGTCAGGTCAAAGCTCAGGTGGCCAGAGGTCATAAAAGGTCAAGTTTGGATTGTTTGAACAATTTTCGAAAACCTGGCGCATAATTTGAGAAAAGCGCATTCGATATCTCTTTCAACGCTCTTTCGCGAAAGTAGTCCTCAAATTTGACCTCAGGTCAACGGCTTAGCATAAATTCTTCAGAGGGCAAAAACTCCAATAATAGCCACCCATGAAAAAGTTTTTTTTTCTGCACCCATGAAAAAGTTTTTTTTCTGCCATAGCTTTTTACTTGAGAAAGTCATGACATTTATTTTTCCAGCCACCATGTTCTTATCAGGACGCGTCGAGTAAAGTATAGTTTGACCTTCAAATTTCATTTTGAAATTTGACCCTGGGTCAAGGTCAAGACCTGACCGGAAAATGTTATGTTGCATGTCAGTCGATCCGTTCAGTCGATAATCGCTCTAGCATACGCCTACCAGAAGTTATTAACGAAAAACTGTTAGGCTTCCTTTTGTGACCTGAGATGACCTCAGGGATATAAGAAAGGGTCACGTCATTTTCACGTCGGGTGTCATTTTCAAGTTTAGTGTATCATGTTGAATTGTTAATAGGTGTTTGGAAGTGTTCAGAATGGTGTCCGTCTAGAAAGAACGCATTTTAATTTCCTTTCATTATATATGTATATGTATTATATATATATATATATATATATATATATATATATATATATATATATTGTTATAAATCGAGGACTAAGACAACTTCAACAAATTCATTTATATTGCCGAAGCAACAATCAAGGTACAAACAATACGAATAGCTCAGATTACCAATTCGGATTTCAATTCACAAACTCGCTGATCTTCAATTTCACATTATTTGTCGCGCGCGGTTCGTGCACTTTTGGGCAGACGACTTTCAATACACAACATACTCCCCCCGTTGCAGAAGGTTTGAGTGGACCAATCACATACCTACCTACTGCAACACATGTCAGTCCCTAGATGCAAAACTGATACAGTTTACAGAGCACATGTCACAATCAACAAACACTGTCTTTCCACCTCCGCTCTAGCACTCGGTTGTAACAGTCGGGCTACCGAGCGCTGCCGGTGCTGCTATCGCTCTGCTCTCCTACACCAGCTCCAGGTTGTGTAGTCGCTGAACCGCACAGCATGTGCGGCGCCCATCACTGGTGCGGACCTGCACGGACCGAACCACACCATCCGGTCCATGATACAGTTTTTCAACCGTTGCCATAGGCCATGTCAAACGCGGAGCATTGTCCCGCCTGATGATCACTACACTGCCGAGCTTTACATTGCCTCTGGTTCCAAACTTGGGAACGATAGCTGGCAGGTTTCGTATATACTCGTCACGCCACACACGCCAGAACCGCTCTAATCGCTCGCTACGAACTGAGTTCAGTCGGCCTAATGCCTCCCCTGACGCACCCTCGATACCTTCTGACCTCTCCAGATTCAAGACTGAGGCACGACCAATGAGAAAGTGATTGGGGGTGAGTGGACCAGGGCATCCACTATCATCACTGACAAATGTCAGAGGTCTGGAATTGACGCACGCCTCAACTTCATGTAGGATCGTTTCTAGCTCACGTTGTGCCAGATGCCGCTGGAAAAGGATTTTTGCTGTCATCACAAATGGGACCAAAAAGCCCAGAGGATCGAACAGCCTTGCAACAAAGCTGAGCACGACACGTTTTGTCGGCACTATATTAGTCGGCACAGAGACACCGTCATATTTTAGGACATCTTCTGATGGATCCCATCGAACTCCAAGAATCTTTAGTCTGTCTGTGTCTGAGGCTGCACCGTTCCTGTCAAGTACGAGTTCACTATTCGAATGACACTTGCTCAGTGTCATACCCGCCTGAGAGAGAATATCACTCCCCTCCAAGAACATCGCTCTCGCCTCTGCCTCACTATCGGCTCCGGTGAGCCAGTCATCCACGTACAGGTTGTCCTGAAGCTCGGCCACAGTCCTGCTTTGTGGCTGGAGACCGAGGTGGTGCTGGATGGTAGCGTTAAGCAGAAACGGGGACGATGTGACGCCGAAGGGAACCCGACAGAAGCGCATCACTCTCTCCCTTCCATTGACGTCCCACAAGAATCTCAGACAGTCTCGATCCTTTGGTTGAACGGAGACTTGGAGGAAGGCCTTTGTGATGTCACCTGTAACGGCGTACTTATGCCTGCGAAATCTCAGCAGAACGTCTGTCAGACTTGGAATCAAAGAAGGGCCGGCCTCGAGACAGTCGTTTAGAGACACACCATTAGGCACCATGTTATAAATCGAGGACTAAGACAACTTCAACAAATTCATTTATATTGCCGAAGCAACAATCAAGGTACAAACAATACGAATAGCTCAGATTACCAATTCGGATTTCAATTCACAAACTGGCTGATCTTCAATTTCACATTATTTGTCGCGCGCGGTTCGTGCACTTTTGGGCAGACGACTTTCAATACACAACATATATATATATATATATATATATATATATATATATATATATATATATATATATATATATACATATATATATATATATATATATATATATATATATATATATATATATATATATATATATATATATATATATATATATATATATATATATATATATATATATATATATATATATATATATATATATATATATATATATATATATATATATAAGCAGGTTCTCTCTGATACATATGTCATTAAACACGACAGCATGTTTGGTGTTATTCAGCTTTTTTGTTTCAGC